TTTGAAGACAGAGGAGAACCAAGAGTCTTTAAGCTATTTGAGTAAGATCTATCACAGGAAATTCTTGGAGAGTCTAGGATTGCCATACAGCAGGATTTAGATCTTAGACTACATCTTTCTAACTCTGGAAAGGAGCCAAAACTACTTTGGTCCAAGCAAGTCCATGCAGACAATATATTTAAAAAAATCATTCAATGTTCTGGCCCAGACATCATCAATCCAAGCACCTCGAACATTCAAGTGGATATGCAAGAGAAATATAGGATACGTCTATATGTGGCTCATATGCCTCATATGCATTTGCCAGTTCCCTGGTACTCCAGCCTAGTTTTGAAAGACAAGATCACATCAATCATACCATAATCTCATACCTCTCTCTACAAATCAGAGGAAAAATTTACTTTCAGTATTATATGTTGACCTACACTTTGGATTGGTTTGCTTCTTTTTTACTTAGAGTTTACTAGGATTTTTTCAAAAAACGTTTAAAAAATGTAACAGTAACTGCAGATTTCTGAAAGTTTGGAAGTCTTACATTTTACTTAAAAGGCTTCCTAGTCAAAAAAATACCCGAGCGTTTCTGTAATCATGGGGTGACAGTATGGTTTTGAGTGTTGACTTTGGAAGTATTACTCTTTGTCTACCTTTAGTGTTACTTAATGAATCTGAAAAGGACAGAATCAGCAGCAGATTTCCATTAACTTATTTGTAGAATGTTTGATGAAATAAATATAGAACAGCAGATTGGCCCAGTATTTTATAAATTAGTATCTGCCAAACTCTTAAGACCAGATTTTGGTAGGAGGATGATTTTGATAGATGAACCAAAAGATTTTTCTTAATATGGCTACTTGATAATTGTTTATGTGAATAAAAGAATGCATTGGAACACAGGAAAGCATGGAGGAAATGATGCATTAAAGAAATAGCAAATTGCTACCACCAAGTGAAAGAAAAATTGAACGTGATGAAAAGATTGTGCAAAGTAAGAGAGTCTTTGCTATGAAATAGACGATAAGACGGAGAGCCAGCCTCGCATAGAAGATTGGAAAGGAGTAGATTTTATCCAGAGAGTGAGTGGTAAATCTGAATTTCCCTAACATTCAAGAATGTTTTCATTTAGTAATCACATTCATTGTAATTTTAAATGTACCACACCAAATCACAGTTCTGTTACTTCTTGATTCTGCAAATATTTCTGTGATTGTCTCTCGACTATTGAGCAATGTGCAGAGTTTATTCATTAATGTCAAGTAAAGCAGCTTTTGTAACCTGTACAGAAATATTTCCTGCTGCTCTCTAAAAATCATATTTTACTCATAAATATGGAGTAAGGATTCTGTTATGAGCCAAATATATAGGCATATAAGTAACTAATGGATTTATGGGTATGTATATATAAAAATGCACTGTGTTTATAGTAAATAATTTTTACTATTGTTTTTCCATATTTTATAGGTAATTTGTGATCAGAATTAAATAAAACATTATGTATATGAGCCATATATTTATGTATATGATTGCTCAGCTGTAACAGATATTTGCAAATATTTATAATATATTTAATTTAATATCATCAATCATAGCTTGCATTATAGTTCACAATGAGCCAATTCTGTAACATTCAAAACCCATTTTCAGAGCCGGTGTTCTGGGATATTTTCTTCAACTATTGAAGGATTTGTGTTATACTGTGTATGCTGCTGAGATATTTGGGAATAGATACTGTGATAGGAATATAAACCCTGAGGGATCTTCATCTATAGTTTTTGCTTTTTGTCATTAATGACCTGGGATACAACAGTGACACCTGTGCAATGGTGATGATCCTCAGTTTTGTTGTTCAGTCTGTAAAGATTTAGAAACATTTCATTCCTGATTGCTGTTAATTTGGTCAAGCAGCAAGCAGTGACAAGAAGTCTGAGATTTAAGCTTTCACAGAGTATTCTACTATCCCTGATATCTTTCCAAACAGAAGAATAGTTTTCTGTCCTGTGATATAAAAATACAAAGCAATGTTTAAATTACATTGCAGAGTATTTTAAAATGAGCCTTTGAAGCAGTGGAATACTGGGATGAAGTGGCATCAAGCTTAGCTATTTTGCAATTGAAACAAATTCCACAATGTCCCATAAAAACTCACAAAATTAACCTAACATTAGGAAAATGGGAAAGTCTTTGGTTACTAGTAATATATCTTGTGGAGTAATAGAATGTAAGGATTGGTTTGAGATCATCTTATTTCTATTGTAGGCACGAAAATTTTATCCATCCTATGTTCAAAAATGTAAGTGCTCTGCAGGGATTTTTTGACTTGACATATGCTACCTGTATAAGATAAAATCACAAAACACAAAAGCAATTGTGAGTAGAAATTTTCTAAAATTGCAAATATGAAGGTATTTGGGCATTCTTGTCCTATCTTTTTTTTTTTTTTTAAACATCTACATAAAGGGCTTTTTTCACTGATCAATAACAACTATTTGATCTCTGTTTATAAAGTGCTTCAAACCTATTATTCTTCTTGGACCCTTTTGTTTCATTCCCCCAGATTTAGCAGGGCTTTTTTTCTCAAATATCTGGGTTTTGCTATGCTGGAGCAAAGAGAAAGAGAGAAGAAAAAGGACATAGATACAAAAGCATTATACCATTCCCAAGCCCTGTAAAAGTTTTCTGGAAAGGTTCTATGGTCCTCTGTCTGTATTCCTCCCTTGCACAGCTTTGGTTAGACCTTTCATTACCAATGGAAAGCCTCTGCTTTTATTAATGTAAGACTTGCTATTTCTCTTCCAGGATACTTCTGTTCACACAATACAGAATCAAGTGTCAATTTTGTTCAACAACTTGAGATAAACAATAGAACAGAAGTAGAAGGAAAGAAAGAGACATATTCAGTCTAGAGGTTGTAATATGTAGCAAATAAATGAACGACTTCTCAGTAGTGATTTTCTCACTTTTTTACTACTACAACAATATTTAATTAAGGTGAAAATTCTAAAACCAGAGCAGAAAATCCTTGAACTTAGTACAAGGGTTTTTGACTTGCATTGCTGTTATTTTATGTCTCGTAGAGTAGATAATGACTCTAATTTACAAGTTTGGTGATTCTATAATCTAATCTGGACAGGGGTAAATATGCATATGGAGAGAAGGTAATTAGGTTTTTTTAATGCTGTGTCCTTGGCTGGCTGTTTACAAGATCACGGTTTGCAGAGCAAACTCTACACTATTGGAATCTATGGAAATGTTCCCATCATATACTAGCTCAACCTAATGTCAAATGCTAAACATTTCACTGTTTGTTTAAGCAAAGTTTCTATCTGCAGTTTTGTCCAGACATTGCAGAAAAATATCTTGTCTCTGAGTTATTTTCATACTGGAATTATTAACTTGTACTCCTCACACTCACAAAATACAACACCAAAATTCTTCAAAAGAATAAAGAATAGTTTCCCGAATTCTGCTATTAGAGAAGATATGTATATACTTGCAATAATTAACTGGAATAATGGGGCAAGTACATTACCTTTTTTTATGCCAGAACCACACTGTTAGTATTTTGAAGGCATATTTCAGAGGAGGGGATGTGTGGATGTGCGTGTGAGTGTGCGCACGCAAATCAAACTACATTAGAATTTGTAACCAAATATCTGATTTTTTTTTCAGTATATACCTGGTTCTTGCATTAGTTGCTATTTGCCACCTGAAATGACTGGCAGTTGTTTGTTTCTTTGCTTTTGCAGAAGATCTTTTGTGGTGTTTCAAAGACTTGAATAAAATAGGGTTAAAATGAGAACATAAAGCGTGTAGTTAAAGGAGGTTTTTTTTATCTGCAGATGAAAAGTATAGAAAATTGGAGATCTCCAAAAAACAGTGTAGAACATTCACTTCTGAAATTATGTTCCTTTGGCAAGGTGCATGGAAAAGATTTGGAAAAAAACACAACATAAGTGCTGGCAAAATTTGTAGGAATGTCGGAAAAAAATTTTAAGTGTTGGCATAAGAATTCTTTGAAAATCCTCACTTATTCACATGTGAAATGAAAGTAAAAAAGCATCTGTCCTCTTTTGTGCACACTGGCCAAATAAAACTGAATAATTATATTTAGAAAAGTACAAAGTTTTCTAAACAGATCTCTGTCTGCATTTGGCTTTCTTTGTTATTTATTCCATTACAGTAAAATATTGTGGTTGAATATGGGTATATTTTGGAAAAAAACCATCAACCACCGAGCAAAACAGTGAATATAAAAGAAGAAAATACAGAAGTTTTCAAAGATGTTCGCCTTGGCTTTAGCATGATATTTTTAAGAGTAAATGTTACTGACACAATAGAAAATATTCTGGATCCACACCAATTTCTTGACTCACCCTAGTGTAGGTAAATATGAAGATCCTGCAGGAGGTTTACCACTGTAACCATTTCCTTCACTCAAATGAATGAACAGCTTGCATGTCAAGGTCCTAATCCTATAAACATTTAGTCATGTTGAAATTCAAATGTGTTTTAGTTTTACATAAACCAATTGAGCTGTTCATATCTATAAGATTGTACTTAGCTATTTGAAGGATCAGAAGGGTCATTATGAATTGCAAACCGAATTTCTTGTATTTGCTTAATTTGTTTATTTTTCATTCTATGATCAAATGTAGCTGTTCTTCAGTGAAAAGAAATAGGAATCTTAAAGCTAAAATGAAAATCAGTCTTGTGTGGCTCAGAAATTATCACACTTTAAAAAAGGATAATATATGAAATCTATTTCACAATCTAAAATAAGAATTTTTTTGTTAATAATAATGATGAAAAATTATTTTAATTTCTTAATTCCCTCTAAATATTTTCTCTTTTTATTATGGGTGTACCATCTTACTGTTTGTTTATTGCAATCATATTTGTTTCACACCCAGTGCTGTTAATTGTAAGAACTAGATACATAATATCATTACTGTGATTTACAGTCAGTAGAATTCCTAATTGATTTGGTCCTTTATGTTGAACAGTTCGGGCCGTGGTACTTGCCTTGATAATGAGCCTCCCAAGCGTGACTTTCTTTATCCAGCTGTGGCCCCAGGTCAGGTGTATGATGCTGATGAACAGTGTCGCTTCCAGTATGGAGCAACATCCCGCCAATGTAAATATGGGGTAAGAAGTCTTAATCCTTATGCTGAGTGTTCTGCTTAGTCATTTGTATATATTCCTTTATAGCATAAATCTCCTGTTAGCTATAGTACTGGGTTACAGATTTCCAATAGCATGTCTGGTGCCATCGTACGTAAGCAAAGGGTACGTTTTAATCCTTATGCTGCATCTTTTGCTTGAGTCATTTGTGTGTACTGTACACGAAAATGTGTGGGTAACAATGAGCTGGGGAAGGCATTCTTTAATTTTATGAGAAAAAGGACCCAGAACCCTTGATCCTGCTCCTTCTAAAGTGTAATAGAGACTTTTCGCTGATCTCTGTTAGTTGAGGTCAGGTTCATGTTGTATTAAACTTGAAAAATGAAATCTGTGGTGTTGGCTCTAACCTTTCGATATAAAGCTACATTTTGAATTTACTTTTGTACTTGTATTACTTTGTCAGATCTGGTTTTATTTTCTTCCTTCCCC